CTCGCCCTCGCTCAAGCTTGAGCTCGGGCTCGTCCGCGGGCCTGACGCCACGCGGTATCGCTCGCCGCCGGCAAATGCGGCGCCCGCGGCTCGCTCCAGCTTAGGGTTTAGGGGTTTAGAATGTAGGGTTTAGGGCAGGACCAGCAACCTTTTTCGGATGACAGCTGCAAGCAAGCTTGCGCGGCTTGTTCCTGCGATGCAGATGAAACATCGAAAACCCTGAAATGCAAGCCACATTCCTCCAGTCAGACATGGGCATAGAAGAACTGGACAACCACTGCCGGGAAAGTACAATCTAACTGAAGCTCCACTGCACTTCAGGACGATGAACTGCCCAGAAGGTACAAAATCGCTGAACGTTGTTTGTCCCAGTTCCACCCCTTGAAACCCACTGCAAACCTCAAACCTAAATCGTCAGCTTTCAAGTTTCGCTGCAATATGATATATTATAGGATAACCTAGTATACTAAAATCTAGTATAGTCCAGCATAGTTTAATATATCAAACGGTTCAAAGAAAGAGAGAGAGAGAGAGAGAGAGCGTGCTAGATGGAAATAGAGATTGGTATAAGTATTGGGAATTGGGATTGGGATACGGGTCGAAAGAGACAGAGAGGGAGAGAGCGATGGATTCCAGGTGCATGTAGATTTAGATCTAAATACAGATGTTCAAGTATGGATATGGGTAGTTGTCAAAATTATGGTCCCTTTTGGGGTACCCTAAATAATAGGTGCCGTATTATAATAAGGACCCAAAAAGGGACCATAATTTTGACAACCACCCATATATACTACACACCTCACCCCCGCTCAAACAAAAACATACGTTTGATGCTCATGCGCCCTCTATTCAACTGAAGCCGAGGCTACACCCCCTGCAAGCCACCTCGACAGATGAGCGCACGCGCGCCTCGTCGGACGCAGAATCCAGAAATATGCAAAGAGGCTAGACCCTCAGGGTGCACGTACTAGTAGTTCTTCTGGCATTGGTTTGTAACAAGTTTGAAACCCTAAGCTCCATACTCAAGGTCGAAACTACAAAAAACCTTGTTCTTTCAAGAGAATGTTTCGGGCAAGCGAAATTTTGTGTTTGCTTTGTGCTGTTGGGTACATTTGACTTTGAACGCTAAGCCGAATAGGAATAATAGTAACACAGCAGTTCGAAGAATTGCAGCAGTAACAGTAGTGATAGTGTCTATTGGTAGCATATGCATGGGAATACGATCAAAGTACACAAGTCTTTGCTTGCTCATTGCGGGTGCCCAAACCCATAAACCTGATCCTCCCAGAAAAGGAGCTGCAGTAAGAGAGCAATTACGGGCTTTTGGGCCAGTGTATGCATTCTACTGGCACATGTAAGCCCCTAACCCTAAGCCCTAAACCCCTAAACCCCTAAACCCAAAACCCCTTAAACCCAAAACCCCTAAAACCCTAAAACCCAAAACCCCTAAACCCCTAAAAGCCTAAACCCTTAAACCCCTAAAACCCTAAACCCAAAACGCCTAAACCCCTAAAAGCCTAAACCCCTAAACCCCTAAAAGCCTAAACCCCTAAACCCCTAAACCCCTAAACCCCTAAACCCGTAAACCCTTAAACTCCGAAACCCCTAAACCCTAAACCCCTAAACCCCTAAACCCTAAACCCCTAAACCCCGAAACCCCTAAAACCCTAAAACCCTAAGCCCAAAACCCCTAAACCCCTAAACCCCAAAACCCCTAAACCCCTAAAAGCCTAAACCCCTAAAACCCTAAACCCTAAACCCCTAAAACCCTCAAGCCTCAACCCTGGGAGCGAGGACAAGCTTTTGTGGACGAAGAGAAGGACGAGCTCTTCGTTCCGGCGCTTTCCGCCATTGTATTTGCCACCGCCCCAGTTGAGGTTGGAGCTAGTTCGGTTTGGGAGTTTTAGTTCGGTTTGGGAGTCCTAGTTCGATTTGGGAGTTTAGTTCGGTTTGGGAGTTTTAGTTCGGTTTGGGGTTAAGGATTAGTTACTTGGCGTCCCAAAACTTGAACCATCCCATCCCAAGCCCTATACACTACACCCTGAGTAATCCCGAACCCCAACGCTAAACTCCCAACCCCTGAGCCCTCAACGTGTGCCTGGGTGCTAGGATACACAACGGCACAATTGCAGGGAGCTGTCAGTGGGAAAGGTGTTCAGGGCTGCACACGTCATCTGCAAATTTCATTTAGAAGCCGGAATAATCACCAACAGACTCCCCTAGGGCTGCTTAATATAACTATATACCGTCACATACCCCAAAACCCTATTCTTATAGCCAATTAGCGGTTATTATCGCCGTCAGATCCTATCATCATAAGGTCATAACCTGGTACTTTGCAGTCCCTTTGGGGTTTCTAAACCCTAAACCCTAAACCCTAAACCCTAAACCCTAAACCCTAGTCCCTTTGGGGTTTCTTACCTCTCTCTAAGGAAACCCCGGGATGCCACCACCCCTCGAGCAGCTCATCGTAGCAAGTCCTCCGATCCTCAACGCTCCTTCGATGCTCTGAGTGAGATTCGGCCTCAGTTGCAGGCATAGACCATGTACACCCTAAACATCCCTAAACCCTAAGCCCCAAGCCCAAAGCCCTAAACCCCAAGCCGTAAACCCTAAGCCTTAAACCCTAAACCTTATAAGCCCTAAGCCCAAAGCCCTAAGCCCAAAACCCTAAACCCTAAGCCCTGAACCCAAAGCCCTAAACCCTAAGCCCAAAGCCCTAAGCTCAAAACCCTAAACCCTAAGCCCGAAGCCCGAAAGCTGAACCTTGGACCCTGCACCTTAAACCCCCGAATCCGAAGCGTACGGAGCCCCAGACCTGTGCAGAGGTAGAGCCCCTACCCGGCCGCGATGGCTACAAGGCCAGGCTGAAAGCCCAGACCCCCCTTTAGGGATCCAAAAAGTAGATCCCTTCTAAAGGGGGGTTCCTATAAAGAGCCCTTTAGTGATCCCTTCTAAAGGGGGGTTCCTATAAAGAGCCCTTTAGTAGCTAGGGTCCCAAATGAGGGGACCTATTTTTTAGATCCTCCCGGGGGTCGGGGTTCCTAAAGAGAGCCCTTCGTAGTATAGGGTCCCAAATTAGGGGTTCTGCTTTCTGGATCCTTCCGGGGGGTCTGGGAGACTCTGCGGCTGCTTTTGGGCTCTTGTACATGAGGTTTTAGGGTTTTAGGGCTTTAGGGTTTAGGGTTTAGGGTTTTAGGGTTATGAACTTCGCTTCTAAGTTGCCATGAGAAGGAAAGCATTGTAGCGTGGAGACGAAATCTTGCCAGAATTAAGCCCTAAGGGTTTAGGGTTTAGGGTTGAAGGTTTAAAGGGTTTAGGGTTTAGGGTTCTAAACATCCCGAAACCCTGAACCCTACGTGGCTTCAAAATCAACCAGCTCCATGCCAAGTGTTCTATACAAAGGGCATGAGTTCATGACTGCAGAGCTTGAGGTTGAAGGATTAGCCCTGCAGCTGCTTTGAGGGTCCACAGGACACAAAAACTAGGTATACAGGTTCCCAGACCCCCGGGAGGATCTATAAAGTAGAACCCCTAATTTGGGACCCTATACTACTAAGGGCTCTTTATAGGAACCCCCTTAAGGGATCTACTTTTTGGATCCTCCCGGGGGCTTGGGTTTAGGATGCTTGAAAATGTAGGTTAGCACTAGAGGACCGTATATGGTGGTTGTTAAGTACTTGATTCCTAGGCTACACTCAACGTGGCGGCAGGGATGTTTTCGACGCGGCGGTTGCGAATTGAAGCACTCGTCCTATCAGTCGTTTGTGCGAGTACTTGGAGGCCCAGGAGACTTAGTAAGTAGGTTATAAGTAGAGTTATAAGTACCCTAACTGGAGTTACCCCAATTATAACCCTACTTATAACCGACTTACTAAGTCCCATGGGCCTCAAAGTAGACCCTAAACCCTAAACCCTAAACCCTAAGCCCTAAGCCCTAAACCCTAAACCCTAAACCCTAAACCCTTATCATCAGGCGGAAGAGTCGGTAGCGCTGGCTCGCCTCGGTTCGAGACATCGGAAGTTCAAGGTTTAACCTCGGGTTAGGAATTTGACTCATTTCAGTAGCCATATGAGGTGATATACGGGCCTAAATAATTACCAATACTTTTTTGGGGGGGTCCGTATTATCTTTACAGCATAACAAATACACCCCAAAACCGTGTTCTGATTATTAAGGCTCCTACATCAGGCCCTGTGGGCCCGACTTAAATGTCTGCTTCGACAGCCTAGACCACCATGCAGCGAGGGAAGTCATTCATTGCGACCCTTGACCTAAATTAAAGGAAACTACAGGTGGTAAGTTTAGGGTATATAGGGCTTCTATGAAAATGTCCCAGACTAAAGCCTACTTGCCCTAATCCCCACAAAGCCCAAACCCCCAAACGACAAGCTTTAAACACACCCAACAAACCAAGCCTCAAAAGAAAAGCCCATGAATCACAGACCCGAAACCCCACAACCCTGTAGACCCTATGGACCCTAAACCCTATGTAAACCTTAACCATAAATATATAGAGAGAGAGAGAGTCCCTGGGCCCTGAATTTCCAAGCCTGAGCCACGCTTAGCCACATTAGCCCTTAACCGCCCTAACTTCCCAGACCTTCCAAAATCCCTTGCTTAAAGAATATACTTCAAATCATAGTAGCATCCCGAATATGGAGTATGGTATATTCCTCAAGTTCTGAGTCCGGATTCTCAAGCCTTGACCAGAACGCAACCCCGCAACCAGAAAGGTTTAGGAATCACCTCAAGAACCGACAGGCGCACCCGCTCAAGCGGAACTTTTCCTGCGCCGTGCTGTGAGTCTTCGGTCCACACTTGACTTGAAGCCTTTAATATTGGGTTTGGGGTTTAGGGGAATTCCTACGTAATAATGTAATACCATGATGGCTAGGGGCCCTAGAACTGACTTTATCAGAACTGAAGATTCCTGCTCCTCAAGATGAATAATTACGGGAACCGCTCCCAAAAAAGGCCCGCCGACAAAAGGAATTAAGGCTTCCATCCTCCCCCAAAACCTCTTTATAGCCCTTCCCCCTCAATCCCAAAAGCGACCCCTAAACCCCAATATCCCGTCACCCTGGACTCCTAGACTAACCCGTACTGCTGTTATACACTCAACCCTAAACCCTTTCGAGACCCCTCACCCGCAATCTTGCCCTTAACCCCTGGTTTAGGATAACTCCTCTCTCCGCTGGAACCCAAAGACCTATTGCTTTAAACGCCTATTTAAAAGGTGTTGAAGCAAAACCCTGAACCTTAAACGCTCGGTCAATGGACCTGATCTCCGTGCTGGGATCTTCTGCGCAAGCTCCAAAGGAGGCCCAGAAAAGGTCTTTCAGGGTCTTGTGCAGTTCGGAGTTACAGCAGGGGGACCACATCCAGTGTGTGTTCAATAAGTTGATATGTTTTGTCGGGCGGTGCGGGCGGGTTTGGGGCTTGAGTCATATTCAGTGTTTGACTTAAGGTGGATCTTATACAAGGAAATTGAAAAATTGTTAAATTTTGATTTAACAGAATTCTGCCTAGTTACCCAGGGTTCCCTATGACATAGATATACGAAAGTAATCCTACATCCCAGAACCCTTTTTATTCTAGCTGTCAAGGCACCTTTATCAGGGTTGGCGGCTTAGGGGCGTCAGTGTTCCTTTGGGCGTAATGATAAGATACATATGTAATATGTGGTTTGCAGATTGCGGACTGCAGTATATAGTGTGACTGTGGTATGGATTGCGGACATCCCATAGAGCCCTTATGGTTCTTAATGGTTCGTGCAATGTAGGGCACGCAGGCTACATTCGAAGGTAGCTTGGAGTCTAAGTCTAGTCTAGGTATAAAGCCAAGTTTTGTGGTCCATCTGCTCTGTTTACCATCTGAAGACTTCCCTCCACCTTTTCTTCGCTACATCACGGGGAGTATACCCAAAAACCTGCATCTATACCGCGAACCCCCGGTTTTGCGGCAGTGACAGGATCAGGACTTGCATGACTGGCAATAGTGAAAATGATGGCGAGAAACCCAATACAATCGGCCCTCAAACCTTTAACGCGTAGTCGTAGTAATAATCGTCCTCGTCGTAGAAGTAGTTGTAGTGGTGTAGTGGTAGTGGTAGTGG